TCATTGCAATGAGAATAGACAAAGATCAGTTGGCTATCATTTGATTATGGTTTTATTATAAAATTCCGGTCTTAATGGAAATAGAGAAAAAGACTTTTATTGATGAAGTATTTTATCGGTTCAATTAAATAATAAAACTGGCAATATTGGAAGTCAAATTACTCTGTTAAACCAAACAATTAATTAAAATTTCATTCACAATATGTTGTCAATAATAGATGAATGTAAAACAAGAGTTTCTGTTATTCTGCTCATCAGCAATACAATACAAATCAAGATAAAATCTAGTTAAAATTCTAGTTTTAAGCTATGAACTAAATATTTTGTTATCAAAATTAATTAGTAGCATGAAACATTTTTTATTACAACTTGAACTCATTAAATTTCTCCTAATATTTAATCTCTATTTTTATTTTACTAGTTATTTACTTTTTTTTTTATTAATGACTGAACTCATTGCTATTTTTAATCATTAGTAAGATATTTTATTATTTTTAGAATATTTTGCTATTCTATAAACACCTAAAAGGTGAAAAATTTCTCAAAAAATACTTTAAAATGAGTTTTAGAAAATCTTCTTATCTAAATTAAAAGTCTTAAACTTTTTTATAGCAACTTAAGCTTTACGATAATCTTAAAGCCACCTTACATTTTATTTCAGCATAAGATCACTCAATTATTTCACGTTGCAGTGCAATGTTCTCGTTACTATTAACATACTTCTTACGTCAGAATTCTATTATTTCTAATGAATAATTATTATTTAACATCACAAGTGCAGTGTATAAATTCTACAATTGCATTATGAACATAATGAAGCATTATTACAACTTCAATTCCATATTTCTAAAGACATCACTTCTATGCACCTGCATTACTACCTCAACTTTATGTTGCCTTGAGACTATTTTACACATTTTCATATTTTCTGATGAAAAATCACATGATTTATTGTCTGAAATAATTATCATCTTTGTGTAAGACTTTACAGAGAATTCTTATAGTCGTTGGAAATTAGTTCAACATGAGTTACAAGTTGTATTAAAAATAATTGATTATAATGGTTTTATCTATTTTCCGAATGGAATCTTTTACAGATTTATAACAGAATTTTTTTTTATTTTTAGATATAACTCTGGATAATCAGTACTATAATTATAATAACAGATCGTGGGAATTGAAATGATTAGATATGTTGAAGGCTAACGTAGTCGGAAACAAATGATTAACAAACTCTATATAATGTTAAACATTTGATATCTATTCAAAAATATATTATTTAAAATAATAATAAATATAGAAAAAATTTTTGATAAATATTCTTAAAATTTCTTTTTATTATTTATGTTTGTAAAAAAATGAATAAAAATTCGAAATAAATTCATTTTTCTCAGAGTTTTTGAAATTTAAGTTTACAATCTTATTAAAAAAAGCAATAAATTATTACAACTTGTTTTTTTAACCAAATTGACATTATTATGTCTAATAAATTTTACATCTTAGATAGAAAAATAATTAAAGACATAAAATAATTATTTTCATTTAAATTATTAGTCTCTGATAATTTTGACGCACACACTTGTAGGATGTATATTTCCGGTCTCAATATCGTCAATTTGTTCGCTTACAGCTTGAAACAATTTCTTACTTATTTATTATCTTTACTATCAAACTATGAATTATTCATATTTTATTATCCAATGACTCAAGATGCACTCAAACTTCGCATAAAGATGTGGATAATAATAACAATTATTATTATAATTATTATTGTGATAATAGCAGAGCTTGGAGAAAGACGTGCAAGTTTTTTGTATAGCAAAATACACTAAAATATTGATTAAAATTTCTTTCTTTCCACAGAGAGAAGAAAATTCTGATCTTCGAGAAAGGAGGGACGGAGAACGAAGCAACAGCTATCGTATATAGCATATGGGTAAGTAATTAAAAAAGCAAAAGAAAAAAATGTAAAAGAAAAAAAGACATTCAAAAGTTTCAGTAGTATACTATATAATTCATAATGCACAACTATACTAATCTAAAATTCATTTTCAATATTATCTGAAAAGAAACTTGGAAGAAATATTTTTCAGCTATAAGTAAAGATATACGAACCGTTGAGCGAAATGAATGAAACTAAATCGGAATTCAATAAATTTTTTTTTAACCACACGATTCTCATTTATCTCTTTCAATGTTACTTTTCATTGTTGGTTTTTTCTATTAACTTTTTTAATGAAATTATTATCTACACCACTAAACGTCAAAAGAGAATTTGTTCAACAAACTTGGTGCTGTGTACTGGCTAATTCTTGTCATTATTTCAGAAAAAATACTCCAATTAATATTTTTTAATTAACAATATCAGAATATTTTACAGAAACATGCCAATATTGCTTTTAAATATGCCCTCTAATAAACGATATTGAAATAATTAAATCACTTAATAGCTATTGATGAAGAAGTCTTTTTAAAAAAATTAAAAAACTCTCTTTTTTATGTTTATAATTATTAAATGAGAGTAATTATTATAATTATTTAAATAATATCAACCAACTTAATCACATTTGAAACTTTCTTTCATGATCCAAACCTATCAAGCATATAAGCTGTTCACTATCCATATCAAAAATTTTTGTTTACGAAGCAAAAGTTTTGATTGCTAATTATTAAAAGTTATAGTCGAATTACAATGACATGTTTTGAATTATAGAGAGCGTGCTTAATCATGAATTTGCTAACCAGACTCGTTACACTGCAGGCGTTGATGTTTGATTGAATAAACAATGAACGAGCTTATAAATCAGTTTCTCTAGGCTCATAATAACTACAATAACAATAATAACAAACCCTACATTAATAATAATACTAATTTATGCTAATTACATAGCCCGAAATCAATAATATTTATTTTGTATCACATGTAGATGTTAAATTATTCTTTCTTGCATACTTGACTGAAAGTCATCTCTCTGCTTACAAGTCTTCACTTGCTACATGTTGAACATCAAGGACTTGACAAACGAGCTAGTAAATGTTGAAATTTCAAGGAAGCAAGGAAGTTAGTTGAACACGAGTGAACACTTTAGCAATCTCAGTTATTGATTTTCCTTTATTGAAGACTAGAAGGTTTCACATGACATTGAATACAAAGGACTGAATCCTTATAAGAGAATCAGAACTAATCGATAATAGATCTTCCAGTCTTTGAATATTCAAATAACAGATTGACTTAACTGTAATTTTAACTTTAATCCATAGCTTATTCATGTAGAGATTTGAATTAACAGTTACAAACTCATACAAACTCTATTCATACTCATGCTCAACCAACTGCCATACTTAATCTAATCAGAAATTGAAAGCAATAAATGTTGGCCATTAATGAGTAAAACAATGTTTCATTATCAGCTGATATTTATTATTGTTGCAGAAAAAATTTGCATTTTTGTTTGATCAAAGAATTAAAGAATTTAATTTATCAAAAGCAGGTCTTTTTTTAAGAACAAGAGAACAAGAGATGGTTTTTGTGCATGAAAATATTTATACATAATCGATAATCTATTATTGATAACCAATCATCTGTAATAAATGGCTAAATTATTACTCTGATTCAAAGTAAATATCGATTAGTAAAATTTAGAGCTTTTAGAATAATATATTACCGCTAGATACTTGCGTGAAAACAAGGCATTTCCATTAAATAGCTTGACAGTAAATGTAGTTATTATTTTTTTTCAAATATATATATATATATATAATGACTGATAATTATTTGATTGCTTTCTTTACTCCCCACTGAACCAACTGTCTAGAAATGATTTTAAATCGTTGATTTTTTTTTATTCAATTAATTCAATGCTGGATTATATTCTAATTTTTATTGAAAAAAATTCCATTTAGAAGAAAAATATTTTCAAAATGCTGATAAAGTGATTCTGTATAAATTGAAATACATTCGGAGTTTCCACACATATTATATGCTGACAATCATAAAATTCGTTAATCATATTTATCGAGAAAAACTGACGTTGTTTTTTTTAAATAAAATATACTGAGTATCTTACATCTCCATTATTTATTATATCACGTTCGATGATAAAACTCGAGAAAAAAAAATATTCCGAATTCCATTCCAATATCTATCTACCAATATTTTTAATAAACTTTCTATCGAATATTCTTACGTGATGTATCATTGAAATGAATTTTATTTTGCACACGTTATATAGAGTTCTATCTATATCGACCAGTTAAATTATTAAAACAAAAAAAGTCGAATTTTTAAAAGCAAAATAAAAAAAAAGTACGACGTAGGCGGTGCTCCATTATCGCCGGACGTCTGCTGATAAATAATAACATCCAGTGATGAATAAATCAAGCCATTGGTTATACTCATGAGCTTATAAATTTTAGATTCTAGCTTGTAGTATAGAAAGCTCAAGTAAATTTAGCTCAAGGGTGAATTGAATTTTTTTAAATTATTAATTAACATGAAACATTCTATGAGAGCGAACATTTTTCATCAATCAGTTATTGTTCATTAATGATGATCAAGTTCAACAAAAAGTTTAATAAAATAAGATAATATAATATAATACTTGAACATTCAATAATTTAAAAAAGTGGATGAAAAATTTTTTTCTTTTTATTTACTTTATAACAATTTGAAGAATGAAAACAACCGATTCTTTACTATTTTTTTTTCTCATATAATGTCTCATTTACAATCTCTTCATTTTATCCCATATTATATTTTGATACTTATTCAATTTACCTGAATATCAGGATTAATTTACTTTATTATCATTTTACAATTATTCATCTGAAATTATGGTAATCAATATCATCTGTTTTATAATGTAATCTCAATATATTTTTTCTTTGGTTTAAAAACAGCTTTTTCAACAAAAATAACATAAAAACAATACCGTAAATAATGGCTCCAAGTCCCCAGTTAATACTAGCACAATAAAATAACATGCCCACTAGTATTTTTTATTTATCTTTTTTTCAAGTACATTTTTAATAATCGAACATTGAATTCAATCACAAACTTGTAATTTATATATATATATATATATATATATATATATATATATATACTTATTCTCATAGGAAATTTTTCTTCCTCTAATTTATCTCAGTTTCCTGAACTCTTACCCAACATTTTTACGTTGAAATACCCTAAATCGATCTAGATTCTACTTTACTTCCGGATTAGGGTGAACGAAAATTCTTGAGAGTACTTTGATACCTTGAGTATCGAACTTTTTGAATAATAAACTTGTCACTTATAAAATTGGCTAGTAAGTAAGAGTGTGTTTATGCTTACACAAGATATTGTAAACATGATCTGATGCTTTAAATTGCAGGTATCGACACAATGAAGCCGTCGATGAAGGTGGGAGTCGTTGCATTGGTTGGAGTATGTGTGATTCTCTATCAATATCACTTATCACTGGGTGTGAGATTTGATCAGTTGGCAGATCAATTAAGTTCCTTCGATTCTGCTGCTGTCTCTTATGGCATTGCTAATATTCCAGATGCTGAGGATGCAGGAGATGCTGATAACGATCACAACAAAATTACCGTGGAAAAGGTAACGCTTCATTTCCTATAGATCATTTGATAGTTTTCTCAGTACTTTTACTAGGGAAAAGCTTATTTATCAACGTCTTTTATGAGTTCACGCCTCGCTTTAACACATTGCGTGATGATAAAAAAAATTTATACAACTTTATAGTTGTTTAAAAAAAAATAATCAACTATTTAATGATGATAATTAACTAGAGGTAATAACTTTACGAGTATTACAAAGAATAATTGCTAAAAGTCACTTCTTTTTCTTAATTACAAGTTTTTTTTCTTATTAATTTATTTACAATTTAAATTTTGTTAGTTTAATTTGATGTAAATTTATGTCATGCTTATAATAATAACTGTTGAGAATAGATATACGCTGATAAAGTTAAAGACAAATTTTGAAATAATAATTATGATGAAACAATATCTTTAATTGATTCAATTTTTTAAAATATATCATTTGTTGAATTAAATCAAATTGATTTCAAGAGAAAATTCTATTCCACTTCTTTTTTCATTGGAGGACCAATCAATTTTTGAAAAAAGTCACTAAAAAAGACTATTTATTTGAAATTCTATTTATAGTTAGTTTAAAGGATTAAACACTGAAATAATAATCCAATTTTATCGTAAATAATTTAACATCATTCTAATTTTGCTCTATAAACACATTCTCTACTGCTGTCTTAAAAGACTAGAAGCTACAACTCACAATCAATAACTGCTGCAAGCTATTAAGTGACTTTTAACTAGGAATAAAAATTTAAAACTCTTATAGTAATTATTGAATAATTAGATAAAATATTTTTCAAACGAATTATTAAAAAAAATGAAGATAAAAAATAAACTTATTTTATAATTTGTTTTTCTAGATACGTGCAGCAGTTCAATCTGTCCAGATTGAACATGGTTTAAGTCCCCAGATAGGTAATGTTTTAGTTCAAGAACTGACAAGTATATTAAGTAAAACTGGAGCACCAACCCAAGTGAGAAATACCGAGGAATCCACAAAGCATCCATCGCGAATAAGTGAAACTACTACCGTGAACTTGGCGTCAACACGAGAGTTGCCTTCCCAGAGGTCTAACAGCTTATTGAAACCACTCTACATTATAACACCGACTTACCGAAGACCTGAGCAGATTCCAGAACTAACTAGGATGTCTCATACTTTACTTCTGATTGAGAATGTTCATTGGTTAGTTATAGAAGATGCCAAAACTCCTACTAAGGAAGTTACGAAATTCTTGACTCGAACCGGTCTAAAATTTGAACATCTTACGGGTAAATATTATCATAACCTGATATTAAATCCTTGGCATTTTATAAATTTGAATTTCTTTACAATTTTAGATTAGCTTCCTTTTAGTATAACTATTAATCAAAAGTATAAAAATAAAAAAACATTAATGAATTAAATTTAAAAAAATGTTTAAAAGGCTTTTTTTAGAAAAGTAAATTTTTTAACGTTTAAAAGCTAAAGAAAAATACGTCAATGAAATTTGAATATATATAATAAAGAGTTTGACGTCAAAGAGAGATAAAAAAACCTGGAAAATGTTACCTTTTGAACTCAAAGAAATCCTTATATACATAATTCAAGAAAAATCGAAGAAAAATAAATTCTGTAAAAAGAGCCTTTATTAGAAATACTCTAGCATAGCAGAGACGAAATTAATGTAATTAAAAAAGTTTGCGTTCTCTAAAACAATTAAGAAAATAGCTCAATATTAATTTCTAAAAAAGAAGATTCTACTAACGACTAAATTAAATAAAAAGTAACTAAAACCTTTACAGTATTATTAACTCTATTTCTAACACTTCACCATCAAGTTTTAACCAAATTTATTGAATTAGTTAGCTTATCAGTCGAATTACATTCAACTAGGAGCTATCGTAATGGCTCTCTAATAATAAAATTAATCAATACAATGTTACTTTGATTGTAGCCCCAATGCCTGTTAAATACAAACAGAAGAAAGGTGCTAAACCACGAGGGGTTTCTAATCGAAATCGTGGATTAAAATGGATCAGAGCGAATGCCACTGACGGAGTATTTTATTTTGCTGACGATGACAATACTTATGATTTAGATTTATTCGATGAGGTAAATAAAATATTCTCAAGCCAACTTATTGATATACATATATGAATATTTTCCATCACAATCAGAGTAGGAAATTGGTCTAAAATTTCTCTCTTGGGTATTTTCAGATTCGTGAGACGAAGAAGGTGTCGATGTTCCCTGTGGGATTGTGTACGAAATTTGGCCTAAGTTCCCCAGTCGTAAAAGACGGAAAGTTCATTGGATTTTACGATGGGTGGGTTGCGGGTCGAAAGTTTCCTGTAGATATGGCAGGCTTTGCGGTCAACGTCAAGTTCCTTCTTCAAAGACCCAATGCTACGATGCCTTATCGTGCTGGTTTTGAAGAAGATGGCTTCCTCAGAAGTCTAGCACCATTTGAACCACATGAGATTGAATTACTCGCTGATAATTGTACGAGAATTCTTGCGTGGCATACTCAAACAAAAAAGAACGAACCAAGTGCGCCATTAGACATGAAACTTTATCGTTCTACGAATCTTGTTGATTTGAAACAACAAATCGTTTGATACCAAAGAAAAATATACAAATTACATTTTTAAATAGTGTGAAAAAAATGTACTCAAAATGCTGGTCAAGATGTGATGGAAATGAAAAATGATGAATTTGTTCCGGAAGATGAACAGCAAACGATGTGATCCAGTGCCTATAAACAACCCCACCGTCTCCGAATCGATATTTTAAAAGATCGATGAGGATATTATATTTAGAACGCTACAAATACGGAGATTTGTTTTGTATTCACTTTTACAATTTTTCATGCTGAGGTTTTGATATAAAATACTCAGTGAAATTTGCACTTCTTGAATAGTGAATGACAAAAAAAATATCAATCCGGCCGCAAAAATAATTTAGTTATAAATAATTAGACAACAAAAAAAAGATGTAATTTTATTAATTAAAAATTATTGAAAGATTTAGTTTTTAAAAGGTGATAAAAGTTTGAGCGCTTCCGAGTTGTGCAATAAATTCTATTGCTCCTAAGATTGAGAATGGAAACAAAATAATTATATTTAGTACCAGGTACTTAAGTGTTCGCATATAATGAAAAAAAAAAAAGGTAATACTCAAGAGTGATTGACCAGTTTTGGCTTCCACAATATTTTATTCTCACACAATGGTGAAAAATCAGAATCTCCAAAAATTCTATATTTAATTTTAGAAATTAATTTTTAAACAAATTATTACTTCTCAAATGTTAAATAAGTTTAGTTGAAATAAAAATCAACAATTTCTTGAAAACTATCAATAAATTTAATTGAAACTTTCTTGATTGAAATAGTTTTTGTTTTCATTTAGTATATGAAAAACCCAAGTATTTTTACCAAATAATAAGATTAAAATCATTAGTAATACTCAATATAATAAGAGCAAAATGAATAAGCAATAATAAATAACGGAGCTTAGAAACTGATACATAAAATGTATTGTTACGTGAGCATTTAATAAAGTGCATCATTTATATATTTATTTGTAGCAAATGCATTGGGACTTTTGCACAACTATTTAATTAGTATAAGTTTTTAGAATAAAAAAATTAATTAACTAAATTCCGAAAAAAAAAAAAATAGTCTTATATCAAAGACAATTATATCAGTGACAATTAGGATAGTGAACAATTTTGAAGGAGAACGGACTTTTAAATGTAAACAATTCAGGAATAATCTAAAGGGAGTTGTAAAATATCTAATCATTTTCACATTTTAAATAAAATAAAAAATGTGTATTTTATTCACAAAAATGAAAATAGAAATGTTTCACTTGTTTAAAACAATATTTCACGCAGTTAAATATTTGTTTTGATCGTCAAATAATTTATATTATAGTGTTTAATATTACATAGCTAGGATTGAATCAATTCCAAACTCTGAAACATGTATTATATTTGTATAATACTTGGTAAAGAATAAGTAACGTTATATCAATGTTACTAATTCTTGTATTAATAGTAATCATATGAAAATATCAATAAAAAAAAATAATTTTAAAGACTTCTTTGTAAAAAGTAAATTATTGAACTTTAAGATCTCGCTTAAATTGTAATAAAATTATCATAAACTTTAAGTTTATATTTATTTCATTTCTCTTATTATTAAATTAATTCTCAGTCATGTAAAAATTTTGGCAATTACATTGACACCGATTGAATCGGTTTTATTGTACGGTTTTAAAAATAAAGGCAATAAAATATACGAAATTATTACCACGAGATTCTTTGAGGACCTTCCTGATCAGTCCAATAGAATGTCTTCGTAGCAAATATGTAGAATTGAATAATATTAATAATTATAGTAGTCAGTAATTCGCCTGTTATTTGCCAGGATTTTGGTTCTGGCATGTTTAAGCGTAATAAAATATAAGGGATTATAAAATAACGAGGCTCTAGTAATAATTGAGGTATCAAAACAACACAAAGACACACAGAATACATAATTTTCGATAAATATCTCACATCTCGTAAACACATGAAAATACTATAAATAGCAAAACCATAAATAGGAATCAAAAGATACTTTGCGATATAATATCGTCCTAGAAACTTATTCCATACATAAAAAACATAATGTCGATTATCAGCTAATAAGTAAGGATGAACTAACGTATTATTATGGACAATAACAGTCATAATAATTAATAAGACGTTAGATATAATCCAATGTTCGCGATTTGCCTTAAGAAACGATTTCAAATTTGGCAACATATAAGGCCAAGCGAATGCTAATGAGAATATTGAAAAGTAGAATATCTGAGGCAAATGGATCGTAGCTACGTGAGCAGTTTTATCTCCTAAAACTATTCCCTTATTCCAAATAATGAATGCTAAAAATGATACGACAACTGATATATGATATTTCAAATGAGAACATGTATCAATAACAAATTGGAAAAATGGCCCAATCCCTCGGCGGGTGTAATATCGGACGTTATTCCATACCAACTGTAAATAAATCGAGTTATAATAATGGAGAAAATATTAAATTAATACAAAAATATTGATTCAATATTTCTGATCAATTTAATATTTAGTTAATTGTATTTTAATACTCACTCGAGCATGAATTGGACTTCCATGGATACCTCTATCATTAAGTGTAGATATACTCTGAGGAGTCTGTTGTTCAATTAAATTTAATACTATTTCTCCAGCTAATAATGTCACCCAAATAATATTCGTTTGTCGAATTAATACAGTTAAGGCACCTGCGAGTATAAATTAGAAACATTGATCAACTTTATTTACTAAGAGTAAATGTATTTATGTTAGTAAAAAAATTTATCACCTGCGAAGACTGAACTTTTATAGTATTGCTTTTGATGGAGTAAGTACATTAACAATACTAAATTAACTGATATAACGTCAGTATAATAAAGAAAATGCCAAAAGTATAATGGAGGTAATAGAGTGATAGTCAAAGCTATTGTTAATGCGAGTCCATGTTTATCTGTTTGTGAATCATCTTCGATTTTTTTCATCCATTTTGTTGTTCTTAATATTTGATAAATTAAAAACAAATTAAAGAAAGTACCAATTAAGTTTATTCCACGCAGAAATAAAGTTGTGCAAAGTTTAAATGGTGCTAATAATGCTGCTGATATTAAATACAAGCCTGGGAGTGTTGTTATTTTTTTATCCCACTGAAACAAAGTATGCTTGTATTAGTTAATGACTATGATCGAATATCAATCAATCAAGTAAATACTCCATTTATATATGGTATCAATAAATTTTTTTACCTCATAAAATGATCCATTACAATATCTTTGAGTTTGTGGAATATGAAAAATTTCATCAATATAATAATTTGGTTGTACTTTGTTAAGAAAAAAAAATAATGACGAAGTAACTGTAAAAAATACTAAAGAAACTAATGTCTGTTGTATAACAGATCGATTAAATAAATTAAAGGACGGTTTTTCGACTGACGCGGTCATTTTGCGTATTATCAATAAAGCAATGATAACATAACCAAACTATCAATGAACGTACTAAAAACATACGTATTTGTTGAATGAAACTTTAACAAAGTTAATCGAAAATTTATAAATTAATATACTATTTTAGTGAAAAAACATAAATAAGATCAATATTAATTGAAAATCAAAAAATAACACAAAAAAATATATAATAATGTAATAAAATATAGAAAAACTCTTTCGCATTAAATTTTTTCAAAATGGAGATAGGTGTCGAATACAATTGATCTTGTGGGAGATAAAACGGAGTTAAAATTGACCACCATGATCGTAAGGTGGCACGGAAACACAAAATTCGTTCATCTTATCTACAGAAGGTCAAATGCATGCATACAGTACCGAACATAAATGCTGTTCAATTTTTTGGAGGTTATACATGCAATTTCCTTATACCATCCTCCTATAGAAAATCACACAGAATTTATGTCCGGTACTGTACGCACACATTAGAGGGCGTTAGGGTTAGAACGCATGCGTAAAAGAAGTAATAGAATCATTCTATTGGTCAATCAAATGTAAAAATTGTCTAGTTTTTTATTAGCTAATCACCAATCGTTCTTAACCACGATCAACTATATAGGCCCGCGAAAATTTAAATATTATGGAAAACATCAAAAAATGTACTTTAAAAAGTACTTCTTAAAAACGCTAATTTAAATCTATAGTTAAACAATTATAGAAAGTAAAGTGTATAAAGTTAAAATTTTCAATGATAGTATTAGTTATTTAATTGATTATTAATAATTAATAGATAGTTGTTAATCGTCTTCTTATCATTTAGAGAATTTTTGATTCCTATGACAAAGTGAACATTGTTTAACGGATACGTTGAAAGTATTAAAATTTATGGTAATGTTGATTTTAGAGTTGCAAAAACATTCCCGGGACCTCAACGCTTGCTTGCTTTTGTTATTCGAGGGGATAATGAAGGCCAGGGAAGCTTCGAGTCGATGATCGGCCGGGCTGAATCAGACAAGGAAATAGTTAAAGGAAGGGAGAGATAACGTGCGCGTGTGCGAACTACGCCGGGGGTGGTTGGTCGGTGGTCCGAATTCCGAAAATCATACAACCTTCTCTTATATGTAATTATTTGCCATTACTATTTAATCATACCGGCGTTTAGTTAACATAATCGCTTCGACAGTATTTTTTTTATTTATCAAGTAATTATTATTATAGAAGTATTGTTAAAAGTATCTGTTACTCATTGTATAATTTCATATAAATTCAAGTAAAAACGCCGCGAAAGTAAGACTGGAGCGCACAAAAACGCACGCGGTGTCTAAAAATGGCGAAGGCGTTTTGCGCGGTGACAGTGTCGATTTTATCAAACAATGGACAGTCAACGCCGAAATATAATAAACCTGTCACACTTAACATTAACTACGATCCTCAAGGACTCAGCATCGAATTTATATCAGGTATTATCTTAACTTATTTCATTTCACGATCGATATTAAGATGCCGATAAAGGTAGCAGACGCTACCTAACCACACTTCAAATTGGACGCCTTGTCTCAAAAATAATATGATCTCAATGTTTGTTATTCATTTTAATAATTAATTTAATTTATTGGAGTCATTATCTTTATATTTCTACTATTTTGATGGTAGAACATTATATTAAAATCTTCTTTTATTATTAGTAAATGATTTAAAGCAGGTGGAAAGGTTCAAATCCTTTGTGTTGTCAGTTTAACGTTTGATCTATACGAGGAAAAAAAAAAGTATAATTAAGAATAATAGAGGAAAATTGAATTTTATAATAATAACTGTTATTACGAAGTTCTTTAAATGAATAAACTTTAGCTTCTAATTGGAGTAACAAAAACGAAAATAAACGTATAAATGTATTAATATTGATTTTGTATAATTATTGCAGAAGATCCTAGTGAGAAAGGACCTAAGCAATTATTGGAATTTCCTGTAACACATACTACAGAATGCTCGCGAGTTGCAACAAAAAGTTATGTTTTTACTTTAGATTCTGAAAGTCTTTTAATAACATTCTCTACTGAGTCAGGTAAACAGAATAATAATTTTCTAAATTTTACATTCACTCTGATTATTCATTCTATTGAATCAGATTTAATTAGCTATTTTAAAAAAAACTTTATAGATTTTCGAAATTTTCATTCACAAATTTTAAAACTTAAAAATGGCAAAGGAATGTCAGCTTTTAATGAAAGAACAGAAGATTTGTCAGCTATGCAGTATTTTCAATTTTATGGTTATCTATCTCAACAACAAAATATGATGCAAGACTATATAAGAACTAGCACATATCGACGTGCTATTTTAGCAAATTCTTCAGATTTTAAGGATAAAATCGTGCTAGATGTTGGAGCTGGTTCTGGAATTTTATCATTTTTTGCCGTTCAAGCAGGAGCAAAAAAAGTATATGCAGTAGAAGCAAGTAACATGGCTAATCATGCAGAATTGCTTGTAGCGGCGAATAATCTTTCGGATCAAATTATCGTCATTGCTGGTAAGATTGAAGAAATTGAACTGCCTGAACGTGTTGATTGCATCGTTAGTGAACCTATGGGATACATGTTGTACAATGAAAGGATGCTTGAAACTTATCTCCACGCTAAAAAATGGCTTGTACCTGGTAATTGATGAATTAACCTATCTAATAGAGATTATAATCACATAATTAATGATTAAATGAACAAGAAATTGAGTTTATTTATTATTCTAGGTGGTAGAATGTTTCCTTCTCGAGGTGATCTTCATATAGCACCGTTTTCTGATGAAACTCTGTACATGGAACAATTTAACAAAGCTAATTTTTGGTATCAAACTTGTTTCCATGGCGTTGATCTTTCATCACTTCGTAACAGTGCAATCAAAGAGTACTTCCGACAACCTATTGTTGACACATTTGATATTCGCATTTGTATGGCTAAATCTGTTAGGCATGTGGTTGACTTCCAAACTGCTGACGAGACTGATTTACACAAAATAGGTAAAAAAATCAATATTTAATAAATATTTCTTTAATATTAAACAAGAACTTGATAACGAATGTTGATTAACTGTGAATATTGATGTAAATGACAGAATAAAAAATTTTTTTTTTCATTTATTTTGTAGAGATAGATGTTGATTTTCATATACTAGAAAGTGGAACATGTCATGGATTAGCTTTTTGGTTTGATGTTGCATTTATTGGCTCAACTCATCAATTCTGGCTTAGTACAGCACCAACGGAACCTCTCACACATTGGTATCAAGTTCGCTGTCTTTTGGAAAATCCACTATTTTGTAAAAGTGGTCAATTGTTATCTGGAAAAGTTACTCTATTAGCTAACAAAAGGTATAGACTACTTTTAAGCTATAGTAATCAATTCTAAAGTCGAAGAATTCAATGGAATTATCATGAATACATTTCTTTCAGACAATCTTATGATGTAACGATAGATTTGAAATTAGAAGGAACAAATATAGAAAGCAGCAGCAATACGTTAGACTTAAAGAATCCTTACTTTAGATATACGGGTGCAGCAACACAATTACCAACAGGATTAAATAGTACATCACCAAGTGAATCATACTGGACAACATTAGATGCGCAAGGTGCTCGACAGGCAGTAAACATGGTCAATGGGATGTCAGTGAATGGTTTGGGTGAAGTGTCGATGGATGCTACAGGCGCTGTGAATCCCAGTAATTTACTTGCACTAGGTAAGGTTTGGTTTGATCCCTCGTTATATCATTATTCTCTCTAAGATGATCCAATTTTCCACGACCTCGAACTAGTGTAAGATGGTTTGCATTTTGGATATGTTGTATGTTAATATCCATGTTTTAAGAATGCAATGTACTTTCATTTGAACTTGAAATTTCAATGGCGAACTGAATGATAAAATTATTTATAAGTAGTTCCTTCACGTTCTGAAACAAAATTTGAAGAAAAACATTAAATGTAAAAATGGGACAGTTAAAATTGAGGCATTAATGACACAAGGTTTAATTTTACAAATATTCCAAAAATATAAAAAAAAAATAGATATAAAATAAGTTTTAAAAACAAATTCTATTTCATAAATTATAAGTTGAAAGTTATAAATAGTAAATTAGTTTATTTTTATCAGTCATAGATTTGACAATAAGTTAAAAATTATTTTCATACAATAACGATAATCTACTTATTTTTATTATCCCGTACTTTTGCGATAGCTTTGACCCGGGTGATAATTAAAATATTTTTTACTGAGCAATTAAAATCTCAAAAGCAGTTTTTAATTCTCAATTATAAGTATTTGTGTTTATAAGTATTTCCATAAGCCACTTTATAATCACGAGAATTTGTAAATATTTCAGTGAATCCCTTGTGATAATAATATTTTGTAAATTTGTAAGACTGAATCCGTGTCAATAAACGGCTCTTTGAAGATGATTGTATTGAATTCATTTCAATCAACTATCTGTTTATTTATTATTAACAATATATATTTATTTATGTATCCTGCTTGTAAATTATTACCTTGCATGTCTTTTTATATTTTTATTTTAGATTCATTGATATATTATTACTCACTACTTCATTATTAATCATTATTATTATTACTATGAACATATTATAATTGCTAATCAATAATACCTTGTTATTCTTTAATAGTGTAATTAATAACTTGCAGAGAATTTCATAAAAATAAAAATGATGATTTTATTATCAAATACTAGCAAATCATTTACGTATATGTTTTTATTGAAAGTTATTTTTTTTTTTATTATAATTTTTATGCAATCAATTATGTGGTTAATTTCCTTGTGTGACAGGCGGTCAGCCAAATATACATCCGGGTTCAATTTCAAGTACTGGAAGAGGAAGAATTGGAGGTACAGCAACAAGTACACAAGCAGCACAACTTATTGGAGGTGGAATTACGCCAAATATGTTTACATCGCCAGCAACTGTAAGTATAGCGAACCGTTATTAATCTATGACGAGATACTTGCCCGCATCCGCTTTATAATCATGTCGCTACTCATTGTAATATTTTGATATTTTTGTTATTATTTTTACAAATATGAAAGCTACGTTAAATAAAAACTGTACTTAATCGATATATTTATAAATATTCTTGAACATCATTAATATTAATTTACTAGATTCTATTCATTATTTTTTATTATGAAAAACTCTACGAAACTTTATAATATGTTTTATTTGTACTTAGAATTACTATCAATTTTTATTTAGAACAAATATTTACAAAGATTGTTTCTTTCAGTTATTTATTAATTCCTTTCAATTATCTGAATAATAACACTAGTCAACAAATAGGAAAAAAGTATTTGCAGCTGAGTAAGTTAAGATGTAATAATATGTATCTGTATTGCAAACTTTACGAAAAAATTTTTATTTTTATCTGTAGTAGCTTATTATAAAAACTGCCAATAATAATTCTATTATTTTATTAAAATCTTTAGCTGATTTTTTTTTTTTTAATTTTACTTAAACTAGATTTTTTTTTTTCAAATTAATGATATGACTTGATAAAACTTTTTCTCTCTAATATTTCCATCCTGAACATGTCAAGTTTAATTGAGCATAATAACCATGAGTAAATCCCAAAATAGTTGTTGACTAATGTAATTGGTTAACTAATTATTTTATAAATTTTAAAAATAATTTCAATCAATTTACTGACTTACTTTAGATATTATAAATAAGTTTTCATAAAACTGTTAATTTCTATCTCAAAATTTGCTTTTTCTTGAATGCTATATCAAACGTTAAAAAACAAACTTTTTTATTTAAATAACAGTTTAATATACTTTTAGTATCTTCAATATGATCTTTCAAGTGAAATCTAACAATGAGAGTGATTGCATGAAACATAAGAGCGGCTCAGTAGCTCAGTCATTGTAAACACGGTGACGTTATTGTATTCTTGAGGATACTAAAATGATCGTCTGCGTATCTTTCGCGGCTACAGCTTGGTGTTACTTTCCAGCAATCGCTGGTTCTTGGCAATACATCACATTATCCGGTCAATCCCAGCCTGATGATTGGCGATTACGTGACTCCAGGAAATGGAATGACACCACAGTCATATCGGCAATGATCTTCGGCCAACTCTTATCGCACTGAATATTCACGCAAATTGAAACAACAACAAAACAACAATCAGCATCAATCAGTCAGCTGTAACGGAAGTATAATAAACAATCGACAAAATCGAAGGCTAGTTTTCAGTTCACCTGCGAGCAAATTGAGACTTTCATCAGCTGTTCGTATCCTTCATGCTACCAGCTTGACTGAATTTCATCCGGATCTGAAACTTGTTGAAACTCGAATGAATTTAGTTGACAGCATTGCCTCCAATATAAATCTTGGAAGAAACAATTTATCATGGGAAACAAGAAGAAAACTACGTGCTATATTTTCGTAGCTATTGTTCAAAACAAATAATATTTGCGATTACACTTTTCAAAACTAGAATTATTAAAGAAAATAAACAGTAACTACGAGCAAATGTTTGCCAAATGTATTCAAATTCAGAGAAATTTGAAAAATTAATTGAAGAAACAAAAGTAAATATAATATTTTTTAACGACAATACTTGACGTAATTGCAATGCTCTACGAGTCGCATAACGTTACGAAATCTTTAAAGATAAATTTTATGTAATTCAATCCGTTTTTTAAATGTTTCCTTTAGAGTTCAAGTGATTATGAGACTCTATGATTTTTATAAGTAGAGTCGATATTAATTCGAGTAGATTAAAATGAAAATAAGATAAAGCTTCAAATAGATAAGTAGAAGATATTTCTGTGCTCGATGTCGAAGCTATTTATACAATTTTAGAATATGTAAAACATAGAATAAGACGCGAATTGAACAGTGCAAGCAGCAATAATGTATTAATTATATAATAATTGTAATAATAATTACGTAAGAAATAGATGACATTGTATGTCGTTTAATTCAATAATTGTAAATGATGCCGCGTGCACTGTTAATATTTATAAAAAAATAATATTAAAAATGTCAGGCCTCTCGAATTGGCTAAAATAAGTTGTAATTTCATTAAATTCAAATAATTAATTGTATATGAATTTAAACTATTTTATTTTATGAAAATGAAGATTTACTAGTTATTAATCGCTAGTAAAACTTGTCGATGGCAACGAATTCAGGTGTAAGACACTTGTGTGGTATAAAATCAATAGTTCATATAGTAACCGAAGGCATAGCTCATGAATAAAGATCTCAATTCAATTTATATTATTCCGACAAGTTCATAACAGCTTGTGAAATCCTTCATTTGAACTTACTTTTTACATAGGTATTCACAAAAACTTGCCATTTTATTCAGCCATTTTTAGAAATTTATTTTTTCCTATTTAACAGTCCTTAATTGAATATAATAGATCTAAGATTATTTAAACCTACTTTGATTAACTTTCTTCCTAATTTTATGATTACGGCAGTAAAATAATTTCAAAATTTTTAGCAATGGAGATAAAAATATTTATTAATTTTTCAATCAATTCTAAATTTTAAAATTCTATTAAAAATTTTTAATGAAAAATTTTTTTAAATTCAATTTATTCATTTTGTTTTTTCATTGCACTATAATTCAATCTCTATTACTAAAAATTGTGATTTTATTTATTTTTAAAAACTTAATATTAATTTATTTATCAACTTTATTGCCTAAATCTTATTGTGAGAGAATAAAAGTTCTTTTTTAAAATACTACTATTTGAGAAAAAAGTATTCCACGAGTGCTATATCAATGATAAATTAATAAACTAAAAAAAGGAACTGAAAGGTAAAAGAAATAAAACAAAAGTAAATTGTATTTATAGTCAGATATTGTACATAAGCCATTTCTTCCGATTTTTAGTTTTCCCTGAGTGTGTGAGTGTGTGAATCTGTGTCTGCTTTTTAATACGATGCCCAATGACTGAAAATTTACATTTGAATATATAAATATACCTCAAAAATATCGATTGGAGCCTTAAATTTTATTATTACTTTTATGTTCTCAGCTTTTAAGTCCATACTCACTGCGTACAATTTTTATTAGTATTATGTATTACATGTATCAAGTATTAACCGTTTTTTAAAATAATGAATCCGTTGAAAACTCAATAGTTATTTAATTTAAAATAATATACTCAACGTTCATACATCATTGTAATTTTTTCAATATTACAAATCCAGTATTTTATGCAAGATATGGCTCCAACGAATATTTTTTCATAATTTTATTACTATGTTATATTATCATCACTGTACTGTGTCACTGTAATTATTTGTAATTATTTAATTATGAAATAATTATTGTACTTCATGTCAGCTCAACATTACAATTTATTTTTAAGTATCATTTGTATTTATCATCATTATATGATAGATAATTAGGAAACGAGTGAAGTGACACATTGGAATTAATGATTAATTTATTAATAATTGATAATGTATTAGGTAATTAAAAATAATTGAATAGCAATTGTCTAAAATATGCTTTTGATATTTATTTACATATTAAAAATCCTTTCCTATTATCGCATTGTTATAAATTATTTGTCTGATCATAATTGTATTGTAATAATATTTCGCTTCAAGTTTTAAATTTACGTTTTAGTAATAATTAAAAAGTGTTAGTAAGTATAATAAAATATCATTAAAATATCAGATTCAATAAAATCTTTATCTTTAGTAATGAATGAAACTTCGAATACTCTTTGATATGTAAAAAAATATTCGTTTATACTATTATCATTAGCAATTATTCACTAGATAAATCACATTTTTTTTCAGGATTCATTCTAGTTCCTTTGGGACATTGAAAAGCTTCTGCAAAAATGTTACTGCTTGAAAGAGCACCATCTATCCTGAATATTGCCGGTGTATGAGTGTCTCTCAAGCTATTAATTAGTAAATCATCATTTCTAGAACTACATTCATTCTGAAATATCAATGAAAATAAGATTTACAAATTTTTGATTATGTCGCAATACATTTCAAACTTAAAAATGAAAAATAAAATTCTCACAGATGCATAGGAAAGGAAATAAAGCTGATTACTGTTAAGATGTTCAAGACCGGGTAATCTTATACTGGATTCTTTATTATTTTTTTTACAGATCTGAAATGCTTCATAGCCGGCTTGTACGCCTAAAATATCAGCGAGATTTTCCTGTAATGTTTTATATGGATTCACCTAAAATAATCACTATTATTTATTTTATTATTTTGAATACAAGGTTTACATTTAATTAGACTTACTTGATGAGTTTTGTTTTTTACAAGAATTGAGTAGTTAGAATATTTCTCAACTACACAACGAATTTGGTCTCGAATCTCAGTGTCATTAGAAAACGTAAACCAATGTCTTTCTGTTCCATTTCTATGATATGGATTTTTCAATACATAAAAGCTGTGTGCTATTTCGTGTCCAATTACTTCACCAATACCACCATAATTGATAACGCTATTTATAAATTAATATTATATTAGTATGATAGAAAATGTATAATAACTATAAAACATATTTGGCAAATTGACTTACTCCGGTTGTTTAACATCAAAATATGGATTTTGTAAAATTCCATATAATACTACTAAAAAGTACATTCTAAATTAGAATATATTATTGATTTATAATAATAAAAAAAAATGTTATAACTTACATATAATATTATAATGGAAAAAATAAAATGCATTAACATTTAATGGAGAAGTAACCCATCTATAAAATAATCAGTAAATTAATGAAGGATATTCATACAAGTATTAATTGTAGCACTTTAAAACTTACAGGCTTTTAGGGTAGTTATTATCTCTAAATAATTCCAATTTTTTCATTAAATTAAATTTAAATGCGGCCGAAATATTATCAAAATAAGATTCAGTTATATTGAGATCTTTGAATTCATTGTTCAATTGTGTCTCATTCTGATACCAATATGGATACCCAACCAAAAATTCCGAATAGTTGATTGATTTTATCCAGTATTTTTTTAAATAATGAGGAAGGGAAGAGCGGTTGATTACGTTTGTCATTCCTTCCATAATTCTCTTTGTCATTTGTACATTCTGTACAATGAAATTAAATATAAAGTTTTTATAATGCAGTTTGTTTTCACTCAATAATAAATTGATAAACAAACTTACTTCATCGATAATTTTTTGAGAAGAGTACTTTTGCACATAAGCATAAGCAGTTAAATGTGGAAAAAAATTTTTAGTCTTTGATATGCATATGTCCCAACGGCTACTGAGTTTGAACGGTTGATTACGTACTGATGGCAATAATAAGTCCTGTACTATTGAAAATAGTCGTTTAGATGCATGAGGACCAAATGTCTTTATAAAATTCCAATGTAGTGTATTCGCTGAAATATTACAAATTATAATTTATAAATAATATATATTATTAATAATAAAAATCAATTATAAGATTCACGTACCAATAACTTCAGAAGAAGTTTGATCTAGTAACTTGACTAATTCCAAAAAGTAACGATAATTCGTAAAAATTATTTGTGATCCAGGAATATTAAAATCAGAATGATCACCAAAATATTGTTCAGTCATATTTAAAAAATCAATCTGAAATATATATCTTATTTATTTATGTTTCTAGAACAGCTTGTAAAGATTACCTTTCCATTTGTAGTCGTAACATTCATCGAACTGAAATTACTTTTAAAATCATCAAAATTTATCCAAAGTTTATAAATACCATCATCTTCGTTCATTGTTTTATTTTTTATCTAAATATTTGAAAAAACATCACTAAGTGATATAATTTTTTTTTGTTTTTTTTTGAATATTTAATTTTTGTTTTAACTCACCCATTCTAAATTCCATTCAAACTTGATAATATCATCTATATTCTTTTGAAGCTTTTTATCTGCCAGAGACACATTTCGGTGTTCTGTAAATATCTGAGCAATTTTGTTAATAACATTTTTATAAGAAATAGCTTGAGGTAACATTATAAAATCTTCAAAGTTTTCAAGAATATCTCCAGAGAATATTTCCTCATCAGGATCAGCATTAGTAGTTTTCAACTAAAATTGTTATCAATCTTATATATTAAATTTTATGTTTTTAAAATTACTAATAAAATTATAATTTACATAAATTTTAGGAGAGATTTCTATATTGGGAGAAATATAAACATCAAATTTGAAAAGTGGAGAAAAATCTATCATTTTCCTGAATGTTATATCAATTTCTTGCCATGGCTTATTTTTTGACAACCATTCCTCCTTTATCATAATTAATGGCCATCCTCCGTTTTTATCAAGAATTTCAAGAATATTTAATATCGGATCTTCAATAATATTATCTGAGAATAAAAATTGTAAAAATAGATGATGAAAGAAATTATTTTAAAAGATTAGTATGAAAAATACCTATCTGAAGGCAAGATTCATAGAATCTTTTTAATTTAGTCACAGTTGAATTCTTTTGTGATGGTATAGCGTACACAAGTTCTAGAAATTAATGTGAATAATAAATTATTTATTATTTATTTATCTTCTATGATACATGATGAATTTTTTTATTCGTTAGAATTGTTTTTACATGAAAATACCTTTTAATTTAAATGATATGTTATCTCTCATGAGCCTCGTCATACTTTGTTTTTCATCTGACCAATTTCCACAAGCATATTGATAAAAACTATTACATGGATCAGCATTTTGATCCATATTCTTCAATAATCTATCAGCTAGAATAGATTTATTTAGTGTTTTATATCAATTAAGAAATAACTTGATCATTGTAAAATAACATATATCACAATTTTACCGGTTTTTTTACAAGTTTTAGTTACACACACTGGTTCATGATTCAAAATACTTTTAGCTTCTAAAATACTAGTGTGAAAGGCAAAAATAATAACAGCAATAAAAATTCTAGAAAAAAAACAATTCTCTAATTAAAATTTTTATTAACATTATAATAAATAATTTAATATAAATATATTTTACAAAAATATTATTTTTACAATTGATAAAACGACGACAAACAACTGTGTGCCATAGTTGTCGCTGAAGAAATGAAATAAATTCTCCAATCTCTTGACGTTTTTAAATACTAATATTTTGAACTTAATGACGTTTAATTTACCTCGCTCTTGTTGTGCTGTGATATTTCTGCTTAGGTATTTTACTAAAAAATAAATTGAAGATTCGTGCGTCATAATATTTTATATTAGGGCATACTCAATTAATATAATTGAACATTCAACATTGGAGAATCAACGGACCGTTAAATTAATGGAGGGGAATTTTAGTGATTATTAAATTGTTTTTAAAATAAATATATTATTGTTATCTAATCTATAAATTTGAAAATTCTCTTATTTTATGTAATCAACGAATTATCTATTCCATTTTTTCACCAAATGCTACATTTCTTAATTGGATTCATTCTTGTTCCTTTGGGACATTTGTAAGCTTCTGCAAATTTATCCATATTAGAAAGAGTTCCAACTATTCTAAAAGCTGCCGGACTATGAGGATCAAGTCTCATTTGATTAATTAATGTATCAATCCTTGGACGTGAACAGAAAGTCTGAAATTTAAACGATAATTATAGTTTGTAAACAGAGCTATCAGTTATATTTTTGTTATAATTTAGGTCATATAGCGATTTTAAAAATTAAAATTTTATCATAATATATTGAAATTCTTACATGTGCGTAGGATAGGAAAAAAAGTTGATTACTACTAAGATTTTCAAGACCAGGCAGTCTCATTTTAGCTTTTAACGTTTTCGTTTTTTGAACTTGAAAAGCTTCATAAACTGCATGCATTCCTACCGAATCTGCAATGTTTTCCGATAAAGTATTGAATGGATTTACCTGAAGAATCAACATAAATAAAAAAAAAAATATTTATCGTGGCTTTCGGTTGAATGTAGTTAATTGAAATAAATTAAATAATAGATAGAAAAATAGGAAGTTACAAATGATGACTTTTAAATTTATGTCATTATTTTTACGTCATAGAACTACTTATGTTTTAAATTGAAATGAATTAAACATACTCGATATGCTGTACTATTGTATACAATAGAATAGTTGGAAAATTTCTCAATAAAACATTGAGCTCGACTGAAATACTCAGTCCTTGTAGCATTAGTCCACCAATTGCGAACATTTCCTTCTTCATCAAATTGACAACCAATGTTATCAAATCCATGAGAAACCTCGTGTCCAATAATTGTTCCTATTCCTCCATAATTAATAGCACTATAATTTAAATAATTAATCAAAGTGAATTCCTTGGCTTCCATACATTCAAAATTAGCATTAAATTTATGATGTGAAATTTACTTAGCTATTTACAAAAAATACTCACTCTGGTTGTTCTTCTTCGAAGAATGGGCTCTGCAAGATTCCAGCGGGTATGACTGAAAAACATCAACTTTGTTAGTAATTTTTTTTTTTTTTTAATTATTATATTTGTAATTAATAGATGATTCCATACTTAAAGAATTTCCAGGATAAGAATAAAATGCATTAACTGCGGTTGGAATAGCAACCCATCTATAATTTAATATTTCCATGTGTTATCACCATAATGTAATTTGCTGTCATGATTAATTCAGTTGAACTTACTGTTTTTTGTCTACAGGTTCTCTTAATAATTTTAATGTTTTTATAAGTTTGAATTTTGTTGCTTCTAAAGTATTATTTAAAAAGGACTGACTAACTTTAAAATCTTGGTAAAACTCATCGATTTTTCCACTATTTTCATACCAGTCAGGATATCCAACAAATTCTTTCATAAATTTTAATTTTTTTAAGGCTCCTTGTTTTGAATAACCATCCAACCAATTACTGTTATCCACTTTAATTTCCATCTCGTGAATTATTTCATGTATCATATCAATAGCCTTAAAAATTCCAACCGTATTTATGTTAGTTACAAATAATTTGTTGAAATATAACAGATTACTAATTAACTTACCGCATCTTTTGCTTTTGGTGGAAAATATTTTTGTACATAAGCAAGTGCTACAGCATGTGCCATATCATTTGCAGAAACACAATCCGTCCATCGTGGTGTAGGTTGTCGAGGGTTTGATGATGGTGACAACATTTGATCGAGTATAGTCACCATGTCTTTGTTTGTATATCGTCCAAGAGCCTTCACAAGCCACCAATGAATTGTATTTACTGTAAAAACATAATCAATTAAATACTTTTGCATTTTTAATTTGAAAGGCTTTAATTTTTTTAGTAGATAATATTTTATATATTGTTTTCATAAATAATGATGTATTATAAATACCAATAACTCTAGAAGATGTCTTGTCTAAGAGACCCGATAATTGTAAAAAATATTCAATTGATGTCACTGATATAATTTCTGATTCCTGAAGGTGAATGTAAGGAACATCAGCTAAATGATTCTTCATTAAATGTAACCAATCAATCTAAATAAACGGTTACATAACGTTTAATTAAATTGTAAAAATAAATCCTATTAGGTAAAATCATTTATAAATTATTAATTACCTTTGCATTTTCCGTTTGAGGAAACATTAAATTATAAGCCCTTTGGAAATGAACTATTGATGTTTTATAATAAAGATCATTAATATCCTGTTTTTGATTTGTACTATTTTTATTTAATTGAATCTGAAAGAATTGAATATTAGTTAATTGTTAATAATTATTCTACAACAATATACAACAAGAATATAAATTTTTAACTATGCTTACTGCTTTTAATTGCCATTCGAATAAAATAACGTTTTTAGCATCTTCATCTAAAGTATTTTCTGATAGTGGTGATCCTCGATATTTAGCAATTACTTTGGATGCATTTTTAATTGCATTTTTATAATTTTCAACAGCAGGTACTTTCGTAAATAGATCATTAGCTGTCGATACTTCTGTAAGCTCTATAGGGAAGAAAGTTTCAGTAGCGGCTATTGATGTAGGACTCAACTAAAAAAAGCTGTTATTATTTTATCTATTCCGACTATCATCATAATTATAATAATTCGCCACAAATATTTATTACTTACCCAAATGATGTGTCCAGAGGAATTTTTTAAGTCAACTTGAACAGCTAATGAAAATAAAGGTGAAAAACCAGACAATTTTTTGAAAGCTGAATCAACTTCTTGCCATGGCTTTTTTTTAAAGTTCCACTCAAACTCAGTCATTGTCATCGGCCAACCTCCATACTGATCCATTAGTCTAGAAAGACCAGAAACGCCTTCTTTTTCGATTGTATCTAATACAAATACATATATAAAATTAATGATTGATCAGATTAAAAATTCTATTTCATAAAAGTTATAAAATACCTTCGTCTATGCATGTTTTGTAGAGTATTTTTGCTTTTGTTAGAGCAGAATTGTCTTTTGTGGATAAAGTGGATTCTAAAATTTCTGAAAGTTTAAAAAATATTTAGATTTTAAACTTCTTGTAAAATTTATGATTACTTTACCTTTGAGACGATGGGCAGTTATATTTTGTATTATATTAAAATAACTCTTCTCAGTTTGTGCCGCCACATTTCCACAAGCATATAGGTAAAAGTCAGCGCATGGATCGTTTGTTTGGACCATTTTTTGAATGATGTCTTGAGCTTAATTACAATAAAAAAAATTCAAATATTCTTTAATTCCATTCCTTATTAAATATTGTATTTATTTATTGAAATAAATAGTTACCAATTCGTTTACAAACTTCACTAGTACAAACTGGTTCATCATTAACATCAATACTTTTAGTTTGTAAATGGTTAATTTTATAAATCAAAATAAAAGTGATGAAAACAGTTCTAGAACAAAAAATGGTAAAATTATCATAATAAAAATCAATATTAAAAGAAATAATACACTAAATAATTATTTATCATACAATTGATAGAAGAAACTTGGATTACGAGTAACCATGGTCCAGAGTTGATAAATGTCAAGTGGTTAGAATGTTAATAATTTGGGCCACATCCAAGATGACCGCCTTTTTTCTTCTTTTTATAAAGCAGAATCATTATTTCTTATCCAATGAATACGTAAATGTAATTACAGCTAAATAAATTTGAATATAAAGTTCAATAAAGAAATTTGTACTATTTAAGCATGTGGTACAATTTTGAAAGTGAATCATTCATCATTTAGATGATTTTTACCTTGAGTAACATTGAATTTGTAATTCGTTTATCACCGTCCTTGACCTTAATAAATTGTTTTCATTCATCTGAAGAAGTTTTTATAATGAACACACTTTGACATGAGTTATTTAATTAATAGAGTGAAAGCTAATTGTAAGTTTTGTTAAAAATCCATACTGATTGTTTACACATATTATCATTATCTTATCACATATTTTACTCAACTTAATTATTAAATTTTGGCCCATTGTATTTCAGTATTTATCGCTAAAATAATTAAAATTTTTAACCTTTATGATTTTTCGTAAAAAATCAATAATACTTAATTAATGACTTAACGTTAAAAATTTTCAGTTATTAATTAATTTAAAAAAAAATTTTAATCTATTGGAGTAAATCTCTGTAAAATGCAACAGTTTAAATGTTAGTTTGATGTTTAGTTGTATTATTCGATTAAATCAATTGAAAAGACTGAACTATTATCATATAAACGATTGTTTGACATTTAAATAAATTCAAAATATTCCGCATCAAATATTACCCGACTGTATCGGTAATGCACCAACGTCAGTTGATAATCAACTATTAATTTTCTACGTTACCTTATATTTGCATAGAAAAAAAATACAGTATTAAAACAATAACAGAATAAAATAATCTATTTTTTAATTGGTTTTTTTCTATTGTTACATAAAACACAATATTCATAGATACTCAACAGTATTTTACATCGTATGTAAATCGTGTATGTTATTGAAAATATAACATTTTCAGTGATCTGTAATTAATTATTTATATTTAATATAAAATAATTATTTAAATGTCTTATGAACAAAAGTGTATTAAATAAAAATGTTTTTTCTTCTTAATGTGGTGCTTTATTGTTAAAAAAAAATTATATACATATATAGCTATAAAGGGGTTATGTGTCACAGTTTGACAAAAATTATTAGATTGGAATCATTTTTTAAATAATGATTGGTTGATTGTACAATAATTTTGTATTAATTCAGTAAGTGTCTAATCTATTACTACTGATAGTTTTAATTGCTGTAAATATAAATTGACATTTATCTTTAATGAAAATCTCAGTCCAAAGGTCTATTTGATCATACTATATAAATATTATGGATATGGACAATATTTATATAATTATATAAATATTCTCCATAATATTTATATAATAAGATTTTTAATTATATTTAATATCAATAAAAATACGTATGCTACAAAAAGTATAATATTATTTAATTATTTATTTAGTTGAGATGTTTGAAGTACTGAAGAGTTTAAATCTAAATCTCAAAGTATGCAGAAAAAGTTAATTCCATTTTGCTACTTGACTAAAGTAAATGAAGCAGTGATGAAGAAGTAGCTGATTCATAATTGTACTTGCTGTTGAGTGTTTGTCGAAAGTGTCTAAAAATCTTGGTTTTATTGAAAATTTCTTAAATAAAAATTATATTATGGAGGTAGAAAAGTCAGTTGTAAAAAGAAAATCTTTTTGTGATAGACTTAAAAAAATACCAGCAAGTATATCATCTGTAGTTAAACATCTTTTTTTTCAGTAAGTAATGAAGCTATTTAAAATCAGTTTTCTGTATATCTTTATTTTTTCAAATTAATTTATATTTAATTTTTTAAAGATTGGGTTTGAGAATAGCTAGGCATCCAATCAGATGGATCATTTGCTGCTCTCTATTAGTATTACTATGTTTAGGAGGTTTTTTAAAGTTTCGACAAGAAAGAAATCCTTTGAGATTATGGATTCCTCCAGATTCAGACTTCGTCAAAGACTCAGAGTGGCTTATGGATCAGTTTGGAGAAGGTCAACGCACCGAGACAATGATATTAACAGCAGATAATGTGCTAGAACCTTACGCACTTTATGAAATGAATGAAATCATGAAAAAAATCTTATCTATCCAAGTTAATAAGCAACTTACTTGGACAGATGTATGTTTCAAGTATGTATTCACCACTTCATTGATATTAATAATAATAAATATTATGATCAATTAAAGATAATTACAATTAAACTCTTCGATTACATAACTAGTAATTTAACTAATAACTTCTATTGATTGCCTGTTTACTAATGGTATCAGCTACAATGATAACTATCATTATTTTCACTTTAGAGTACCAGTGATATCAGGCTACTCGATAGCTCGTCAACAACGTGATATTGATGATGATGATTTTTTTGACGAAGAACCATCAGCACGAATGGATCAGAGTAATTTTGATCCAAGTGTTCATACCTCAGCGAAAGTTTATTGTAGGATTTTCAATACTTTACCAAAAGGCTGTTTAATCTTTAGTATTCTAGATTTATGGGAATATGATTCAAATAAAATTTTAAGCCAAACTAAAAATGACATTATTACAAAAATAAATTCAGTCAAAATAAGTCCTACTTTAGGTCATCCCATAAATTTCACTGAATTATTAGGAGGAGTTGTCAAAGACAATATGGGTAAAATTATCAGTGCTCGAGCAATGAAAAATCAGTGGATGTTACACGTCAACTTTACAAATATCAATATGAATAATGCGGGGAATGATGTTGGAACTTCTGATTGGGTACGGTGAGTTTTATATCTAAATTTCTATTCATTAAAAAATTTATAAAATTGATATGTAATTTGAATATAACTTTTCATTTAATATGTAATTAAGTCACATCAAATTAATAATTTATAACGAAATTAAACTATATATTGATGATGTCTATGAAATGAATATTAAAATCTATTTATTACATTGGATACATTTATAAATCCAATTTAATTAATAGAAGATATAATAAATAAGCCAATCTATTATAAGTACTATCACTTTAAAGGCTACAATTGACGTCCTAAATTGGGAAGCAGAATTATTGAAAGAACTTCATGCAAGTTCAGAATTATTGAAGAAAAAAAATAAAGAAAACAATAAAACTTTACAAATATGGTATCAAGCAGGAAGAAGCTTTGGTGATATCAGCGAATCTACAATGTTTCAAGATATGAAAAAAATAATAATTGGTATCATATTAATGACTTTATACGTTCAAGTAATCTTATCACGATTTAATTGGGTTGAGTGGCGTGTGAGTATTTTTTTTTTGTTCTAATAATAATCATTTATTTGTTTGTTGAGTGATTAATGTTAATTATTAACAATTCAACATATGAAAGAATTAATTATTTGTTTCCGGACATTTTAGTCTTGTTTAACGAGTGCTGGTCTTTTGTGTGTGGGTGGAGCTTTTATCGTTGCTGTTGGACTATGTTCTCTTTTTGGCGTTCCTTATGGCCCGGTGCACTCTTCATTACCATTTATGCTGATGGGTCTTGGAGTCGATGATATTTTCGTGATGATGGCATCTTGGGAGGAAGGAATGTCGCATGAATTAATTCGTAGCAAGTCGATCGATGAAAGAATTGCTCATATGTTAAGCCACGCTGGAGCAGCGATTTCTATTACTTCATTGACTGATGTGATAGCATTCATCATCGGCGCATCTACGGTAAAATAATACCTATAAATCTTATATAACCCTACCCTTGGAAATTTACTATTCAATGATAATTTATAACAGCTTGATTCTATTTCATGATAATCAATTCCAGTTATGAATCACTGCATAATTGTTGCAAATGATAAATGAGGAATATATCGTTGATATTGATATTGTTTTTTTTAAACACATAAAAAAATATAAATAATTTTAGTATTGAATTTCGAAAAAGCAACGGAACTCGATTACTCTCAATTATACTAATTTAAATTAAATGAGTAATTAATATTTATTAAACTATTTATTTTGTATACATGAATATTTAATTAATTAATACATATAAAGTTGAAAAAGGTGATATATAACTTACGTATGAAATTATTTTAACAAATTTTTGCTATTTTTAGATTCTCCCTTCTTTGGAATCATTCTGCATCTACGCAGCCGTAGGAGTTTTCGTAACGTTTTTACTACAAGTAACATTTTTTGTTGCCATTTTTACGTTAGACGTGAAACGAATTGAAAGCAAAAGAAATGGAATTTTTCCATGCATAATACATGACAATTATGATATTAGTAAAAATGATCTGAACCAGCGCTTATCGTGGCGAGTAATAAATACTTTTTATACAAAAGTGGTATTAAAGACTCCAGGAAAGATAATTATCATATTAATCACTTGTATTTTCACAATTGTTTCTGGAATGGGAGTTTACCAGCTGAAACAATGGTTTGATCCTGACTGGTTTTTACCTACCGACTCTTATTTACATAAATTCATAGAAGTGAAGAACAGAGAATTCCCTACTAGAGGGAAATCAGCGGCTATTTATATAGCTGATATTGATTACATTATGGAATATTCCAAAATCATGACATTAATAGATAAATTAATGAATATGACTGTGGTCGATAATTTAGAAGCTTGGCCACAAGAATTTGCTCAATTTGTGCAACGTCATTATGACAAAGGTTATTAGTGAACATAATTATTTAATAATTAATACAATTACCCTTATTATAATTAAATGTTTGTTAGTGTAATTAAATTACAAATCGTAGGGCTGTAGTTGCAATCAATGTAATATTCTTTTATATATTATCAATTTGGAATTAATCTATTTGTTTTCAGATGTAACAAATAATTCCCTGCAATCAAATGAATTTTATTTTTACCTCTCGAAATTTCTATTTAGTCCAAGTGGTGGCAAATATCAAAGGAATTTTCGATTTGATGGTAATTTGACTTGTGGAATGAATACTCCAAGAATATTACTCTCTACTATCAATTTTGCCTTTACTAAATTTTCTGGCCCTGACCAATGGATTCCAGCGATGGATAGCACAAAGTTAGCTGTAAAAGAGGTGGGTTTTAGTGGATATGCTACAGTTTGGAGCCGAATATTTGGTGCATGGGTCACAGACAAAGTAATTGCCCGTGAGGTTACTCGAAATATTATTCTTGCATTAATATGTGTGATGGCAACAACAGCAGTACTCATTGCTGAACCGCAGACATGTATTTGGATTCTTCTCTGCGTTAGTTTGACCCTCGTTGATATCTGTGGTTTTATGTACTACTGGGGATTGTCTATCGACATAGTTTCGTGTATCGGTAAGTATCTCAACATGATTTTAAAGTGGCAAAAAGTAAAAAAAGGAATTATAATCTCTTTGATACAATTTAAATATGTTAACATGTGTTTTCATTATCTGCTTATTCGTGGTATTCAATTAAATAATTTATACTAACTTTACTTTTTTAGTGATGTTTTAAAATGAAATTGGTTTTACGACTGGTATTTTAATGTGAATTTCGAACAGGAAAATAAATGCGGGTTAAAATTTGAGATAAATTGATACTATTGATACATTATTGTTATCTACAAAATATTCAAATAATTTGCATTCAATTTAAATAGTTTATACAACGATACAATTAAAACTTGGACTATTAACTGTAGTTTGGTTTAATTACTGAATCATTTCTTTGTATATTTATCTTTAATTATTTTATCCATAAATTTTATTTTTGATGAAAATATTACCGTAAAACCATTTCAAAATGTATCCTAACACTGGATTTATAAATAAATAATGATTTTACTTTATAATTTATGATTAAAATAATTAAATAAAAAATAGTTGATTGAGAAATTCCAGTCATTAGCAATTAAAATTCCGCAATTAATAAACAAATAAATCAAATGAATATTTACTTACTATACTATTTAATTTACCTTAGTATTACTTGAGGTTATTAAATCTTCTTGACACTTGTACATGGATGTATTTTCATTACGTATTAACTCAATTAATTTTTTTTTTTCGCAGCTCTCGAATTAGCAGTAGGTCTGAGTGTTGATTATGCAGCTCACGTCGCACATGCTTTTCTCAACAGCAATGCACCAAATAATGAAAGAAATCGATCTGCAAGAGCTTTGATTGCTGTAAGACATATCGGAGCAGCAGTATTATACGGAGCAGGTTCAACCCTTTTATCTCAATCTCTTTTAGCTTTTTCTGAAGCCTACGTTTTTCGTACATTCTTCAAAATATTTTTCCTTGTGATCTTATTCGGTCTTTGGCATGGTTTACTCTTACTCCCAGTGATTTTAAGTACAATTGGACCACGAAGTCTACATCTTAATAAAGAAGAAATAAAAAAGTCTATTGAAACTGACGCAAATCAAAAAGTGAATGATGAAGTAAATGTGCCTTTAAATACAATACAATCAGATAATTAATTGTTATTCATCTTTATCAATAATATTTATTTTTGGTTCAATAAACATACAAAATTATTACACTATTCATACTATTAATCACACATTTATACAAAAATAATAATAATCAGAATAATCGTAATAATAATTAATAATAAAAATAATAATAAAATTGGATAACTTAAAACGGAATTATTTATATATATTTATATAATATATTATGATTAAAAAACAAGTACAAAATAGTGTAGCAAGGATCATTAAAGATTTATTCCATTAATAATCCATTATTGATCGAAAATGAACATGACTATTATTAAACGTAACGTAATCGTGTTGATGCATTATTATGTTTAATTGTAATGAATAATTATGACGTAAAAATGAGCGGCGAGGGGAAACCCAATCGACAGGTGAAACCCCCATCGCTGTCTCTCTCAGTCTTACACAGTCCAAATACATTCACACCCTCACATTAATGCAATCATACCACGTATTTCCCTTATTCACACCCCCTTCGTATTGTTTCTGCTTTTTTAAAATCATATCCTTATCTATTTACTTGATAGGATAGCAGAAATTCTTGACAATCAGACAACAAAAAATTTTCCATTACTCTAGTACTTTACTTTACTCAACGCACAATAATCAGTACAATTCTTTAGCGCACACGACGGTAGACTGCTGGGCAGCAAGCCGCGTACGAACGGTATTTGAGAGTAGACAGTATACAATTAATTATTTCATTTATTTATTATTGTAATTTTTAGTTTATAAATTGGAGGGGGGGCTGTATATTTCTTGTTACTTCATTAGTAATTATTATTATTATTATTATTATTATTATTATTATTATTATTATTATCAATAAGGAACCATCGATATAATAATATTTATTCAGCGAAAAGGTGCCAATTAAGTGTTTGATGTTATGTGGGGCTGGAGGACTTAGCACGCGTGTGACATGAGCGCAGATTAATAACACGATCAATGGGAGTAAAATGTAAGGGAAGGATATGGAAAAAAGCTCGTTGATACATGACGATGTCAAGTATGGGCCGTCGTTTTGGATGTTGCGAGTGATGAGGAATAAAGGAAAAAAGGGATAATGATAATTTATTGATAAATATTTTTCATTTTTTTTAATTAGTTAATTATTAATTATCGTTATGATGATTATTTTTTATTTATTATTTGAAACTTTAGGAGAAAGGGTTTAGGGTTCGACACGTAGAAGGTAAGAGAAAACTCGACGGCCGGGGAAAGACACTTTGGGGTACAGACAGACACACAGACATAGAGACTAGGCTAATATCGACTATCTATTCAAACTATCCTAGATGCACATGCACACGGTATACATACACGCGACAATATGATCAGATTAACATGATATGTATACGCATGTGCACACGTAGATTTCTTTTAATTCATTTTTTTTTAATCGTCGTTATTATCATTTTTATGTTATTTTAATTTATTCGTTAATTAATTGTGTCAATATCGTGTAATAAATGTTATAGTTTTTCTTTTCATTACTCAAGCTTATGCCCAAAAATCTACCAGAGGCACTTTGGGTTTATTAGTACCATAAGAAGTCGGCGTGCGCAGGGGAGGGACTGCACACCGCGAGATCGTCGGGCGATCATATGTAGCACAACACGGGGGTACACCAATAATTAGTCAATTATTATTATTTTTTTTCTCACGAATTTAATCATTCAGTAATTCATTAATATTTATACTTTATATTTATATTTATATATATTTTTTTTCTTAATATTTTTATATTCGTTATATGATAATTAATCTCGCATTGGCTTGATTGGGTCTTTCCCCGAGCTACTTCCGATCGCTTTTTGACCTCAACTGTTACCAACAATAATGAATTTTACGTGCCAAAATCACCTCACCCTTTCATTCTTATTTTCATGGTTTTTCTATCTCATCTGTCTACTTTAGTTTCCCGCTCGCTTCTAGCTTTTTCATTTTCAGATTTGTTTTCTTGTTCGTCTTCAATCATTTTTGAGCAATAAATACTTTCTCCACGAACAACTTGCACATTAAATTGACTCTCAAATAATATCTACATTCATACCGACCCACTCGCACCGTCTTACGAATCGCACCGACAACTGTCACGCTAATATGGCTACATCCACAGAGTAATTTTACGTTAATTAATGATTATCAATTCATATCAATTCAATATCAATGTATTACAATCAGACAATACTCAACAGTGATCATTATTCATATATATTACAATAATTAAGAGTGACAACAACATGACGACGGAGGCGTTGAAGCATATTTAGGAGAGAGTGGCACAAGATGGTTTGTAGAGAAATTACGTGAATTTAGCACGCACATCTCGTGTATATAATATGAATTTTTATGACAATGATAATGATAGATAATGATGATCATGATATTGATAATGATATCGAGATGAGATGAAGATGACGACAAATGATTAAAGAATATATGGCAATATTTTGGGACGTATGATTTGTAGACCGAGAAAGGGAAGCACGCACACTCAACACAACCGTCACATAGAGCTTGACCTCGCGCTCGCGTGGTTATCGTCCGTATATATTAATACTTATTAAATAATACACCGTCTTTCTTTCGTCAAAGATTCCATTCTTATCGTCTTTCTCTTCGAATGTGTGTGCGTCTATATATAATTTATATAATATGTATAATATTTATATTTATATCGCGACAATATATTTACGGAAGGGCCGAACGCACACATATTTTATATACATACACATGCGTTTTGCCAGCGTATTAAGTGTATTTTAATTATTAATTATTAATATAGTATGTACACATATACATATGAAATACCATCCATTGTATAATATAATCATTCATATATATATTTATATATCAATTAGTTTAACTAGTTTTATAAATTAATAATCGGTTTCTTAAAAACCCTTCGACGACTTTCATTCGAAGGGTTTCAGCTATATGTCATGGATGGAAATGTTTCTTCGTTTAAAAATCGACACTCAAGTCATCAGTCGCTTCGGCACGTGACGCATATCGATTTACACATTACACATTGTTTTACAAATATCGTCAAACAACTTGTTTGTACGTATTATTATATTAACTTTTTTCGATTTAATTTTTCATTAAAAATGCTTTTTTTCCTTTTACCTAACGCGACAATCTGTTATGCTTGACCGCCGGAGTGTGAGCATGTATAATAATATTATTTTCTATTGCAATATCATTATTTTGGTACTTTATATACATTATTATCTGGTAAGTGCGATGATATAATTGTCACACCTTCCAGCCAGCGGCTTGCTTGAAGACTACATTACGTCTTGAGCATAATTTAATCATCTCGCTAATTATTTTCACACAGAAGTCGCACAACTTATCCTCTCTATCTTTCTTTCACTATGCTTGAGTCTTTGATAATATATAGTTTGAAAGATAGAGTGAAATAATAGATAGAGTACAAAAAAAGTTAACTTTCTCTTGCGACTGTCCATGATAAAGTTGAAGCGTATATATTAGGCCAGTTCACTTGGCATTTTAATCATAATAACCTAGCATCTTGACTCAGCATGGCCATTCATGACGTAGAGACTTGGTCGGATGCTTGGTCGGAATCACGGGACATCAGGGATTAACGTCCACCGACATTATATTGTGCACCTGTTCTAATTTGTACGCCAGCCTTTGTTTCTGTGAAAATTCATCCTCCTCAAGGGTCACTATTAATTGCTCGTTGTATTTTCCTGCGTATGTATACAACTCATAGAGAGCGCAATTTGTATTAAATTCTGACGTATGAGACTGAAAAAAACGACATTCATTTTAAAATTATTTCTCCAACAAAAGGTAAATCGTCATTTATAATAATCACAATAATTTTCAACCATTTAAATAAACCTTTTCAGCGTGAACAATAAAATTAATTAGGAATGAAATTACTTCCGGAAAATAGTACTGTGTTAATAAAAATAAATAATTTTGCATGTAAAGGATTGAGAAATTGTATTAACATATTTTTAAAAAGATAAAAAGCTTACCCTAGACTCTTCAGCTAACATTGCATTCATGTCTTGATCAGAAATAGCAGGCATCATTTTAATATCTGAATAATAGCGTTCTACCCACTCTTTGTACACTGGAATGTCCTTGGCATATAGCAGCTTTGAGCTCGGAGAATCCTTGCCTGAAATAGTCAAATTTATGATTATTAAAAATAACATAATTAATCTAGGTTAATAACACAAATTCAATTATCATAGAAATTACCTAATCTATGGTCTGATGTAGAACAGCTGTCCATAAACGTCTGTGCCACAACAGAGAGACAAGAGTCTACAATATTGGATTTATGAATATCAAAAACAAAGTTGGGATTTTTGATAAGATTCACCCAAAATCTGAGAGGAAGAGAATTGCTTTTCCACGTATGAACGACTTCTGGATCAGATATGCCATGAAGTAGTGCTTGATCATCGAGGAAGTCAAACATATATTTGATAGCAAGTGGTAATGCTGATCCTCGATGAGCTGTACTGAAGATTGTTTCGAACAAGTCGTCGACAAATTTTTGTAAAGTACCTTTTGTTGAAAGTAACCTTGTTAAATAAATTTCTGATACCATTTTGTTGCCACGTTCACCCTCTTTCTGAGCATCTGTGTCATGGTGTTTGACCAAGTGCCAAACTTTTACTCCACCATCATGATCATGATTTAGAGGTGATGTAGCACGAGAAAGTGGTGGACTTGCTGAACTGAACTTGCTGAGATTTAACGTTTCATATTTGTGAGATTTATCTGTTTTCTCGGACAATATAGAAAGATTGTAAATCGATGATTGTTTGGAGACTAAGCTAAGAGAAGCTCCATCTGGTACTCTGTAGTGATTCAAAGTATTTCTCTTTTTCCATTCGCCTTCAGTTTTTGTCGTTGAGTCCTCGTCATAGAGAATCAATCTTCCTGATGCTCCTGTTCGCCATTCTGTGAAGAATAAATGCATAATAAAAATGTTTGCATTGAGTTAACCCCAAAATTTCACTAGACTATATTCCATTTTTATGCAAAATTCAACTCCAGTGATTTTTAATATTAGATTATTGCAAAAGTTTTTCTCAGTATTCTGGTTTTATATGGAAATATTATTGCTTGTAACATTTAAATGAAATAATTAGTCATATGTTCCAACCATCAAAATCAAATTTATTCTATTATAAGAACAGTTTATTTTTCAGATTAGTTTTATTTCAGAAGAATGGAAACATTCAAAATTAAACAGAACAAAAAATTAAAATTTAATATATATAAAAAGATAAAAAAGTTTAATACTACTTTTGTAATCATTTTATCCCTAGATCATTTAAATAACAGAATAATAAACTTACCGAGATCAAGATCATCTTTTCTAGGTCTTTGACTATATGGTGTAGCTCTGTAAATGGTATCTAATGCTTTTTCTTTAACTTGAGAAATGGTGTCACAATCAAGAACCTTCACAGGGACGTTTTCAGTGCTAGGATCTAATCCACTAAATACTGTTTGTAGAGCTATGGTTACATAGACGGTCTGAAAAATAAAAGAGAAGAGGAAATGAATATTTACTTTACTCTGACTGATTCAAGCAATTAACAAACGAATGATTGGAATAATTTCATTTACCATTGGCTTAAAGTCAATTGACTGTCTTATAAGCTTCTCTTCCGAGAGTGAATACCGTGCTTCGGAAGAGATTGCATCAACAGGACCCTTGTCAACCTGCTGCTTCATTGCACGAAACAGCATATAAAGTGGTTCGCCAGCGCACTCGCGCATAAATTTGTACAGCAGAAAAGTGAACCAAGCGGATAGCATTTTTTCTGCAACACTCTCGGTCCTGAAAAGAAAAACATCCATTTAATTTTAGATTTAATTGAATGCTTTCAAGCTCACAGCATTGAATTTAATTCATTAAAATCAACTGGTTAATAAAACTCTTATTTTTATTTATAATGATTATGGTTTTTTTGCTCTCACATTGTGCTAGATTTTTTCATCCATATACGTACAAAAAAAAACATTTCTAATAAACAACATTATCTATAATGAGAACAAACATAATTTTTAATGAAATCACTTTATCAAAAGTTTAATTGAAGAATTTTTTTTTTTATAAAATGTACAATAAATAAATTTCCGTATCTTTCGAAATACTTGAGGTAATAAGAAGGCTGAACAAAAATATTAAGAATAATAAACTTTTAAAGTCAGTGTAAAAGTCAAATATAAATTATGAAAGTATCATGGTCTTTTAAATGTTTTTAAAGCAATAATAAAAGGGCAGTTAGTAAGTAATATTTGAATTAATAAAATGTAATATTCAATCTGTATAATCAATATCTTAACCAAATATTGATTTATTAAATATTTATAAAAGAACTCAAATCATGGAAATATTTATTAATTTGCATAGAATTTATTAAAGACCTTTAATGAAATTCATTCTATAAGTAATATTATACTTGATGCATAATTTCAAAGAAATTTTGATAAATTGAAAGAAATGAAAAAATTGTGGTTATGAGTAAAAGTATAAATTAGTGCTTTGAAGGCGAGAGAAATAATTTAAAAATAGAAAAAAATTTAATTTGTAGAAATTATGTGATTTCTCAAGCTTAGCAATAGTAGATAAAAAGAGAAAAGGCAATCGTGAAGAATTACGGTGATGATATATTTTTAACACTTACCGTCTAAGTAGTAATTTAGGATGACTTTTCCCTTCCATACATTTTTCGATGAGTTCAGCAAGTAGAGTTTTTAAAATATCTGTGCAGTACTCCATTTTACTCTGCAGTGTTACCATGATGAGACTTGCAACATTGACACGATCCCTCATTGAAAAGTAACGATTGCTTTCAAGGGTCCTCACAAAGAGAAGTAGGAAGGTTTTATTCATAATAAGCTGTCCAAAAAGACGTAAACCTTTCTCTTTACGTGATAGTTCTGGTCTATCCCACTGAAGAACTACGTGGTTATCAACATTCGGAAACAGAATTTTCATAGCATACGTCCTGTAATCTAGGAAAGGTATTCCGCCACTGGTTACATCACCAGTGAGATCAGTAATTTCCGTTTGTAATTCAGCAAACGCCTCTTTACATTCAGCTGCGACACGTAATTCAAGAATATCCATCTGTTCTTGCATGTTTTTGAGCACACGGTTACTTTCCGTTGATTTTCGTCTATATGCAATGAGGAATGCGATGAAAATGACGATAAGAACTACGATAGCCACTACAACACCTATAAGTGCAGGTTTGGAAAGTGGTCCATTCAAACCAGTAGGTAGAGCATAACTCAATTTGCCTATCTTGAAACGTAGAGTATTGCCAACAATAACTATTACTTCAGGCAGTTCTTGTTTATCAGGCAGACCTTCGGCATTGAGTGCCGGGGGTTGAGAAAGCGGTGGCCTACAAGTGAGTTGTTGCCTCGATAGAGATGTCACGTTACAATAAGTAGAACCGATCTGAACAATCACGTCTGACTCTTGACAAGCACGATCAAGATGTTGGCCATTGATCGTGAGATAATCACTTTTGTAATACTTGACTTCTTCATCGAATGTATCATAAATAGGATTGGGATAAAGAAGAAAATGGTTAAAGCCGTACTGAGTGAGATTTTGAACTCCAGATACATTGTCCATGCGAAATCCGTATTCTAAATTCAAAGGTTTCTCTGCATCTAGTACTACATTTTCTGGCACTTCAATCGTTGGTGATTTGCACTCCATATTCGTTTGACTAAGAACGTCACAGCGAGATACAAACATTTTCTCATCGTAATATACATACATCTGTGGATTTTGAATATAACCAAGGTTCTTTCCAGTAACTGAAATCTTGATTCCACCTGCTGGGATTCCTTTAGGAATTTTCATCTGTCCAGCAACACCACTCTCGACGCTTTTAATGGTCGGATCATCTACGTACTCAAAAAATCCATTATAAGTTCTGTTTTTTCCGTCGAATATCATTAAGAGAGTTCCATTTCTGTTAATATCACTAGCACTAGTCATACATAATGTCTCGTTGGACTCTGCATTAATTACCGAGCAAGGCAGGTCATCAATCATAACTTTAATCTCACTGCCGGCATTCATATACCTTCCAGTAATTTTCACAGTCGTTCCTCCACTTCTCGGTCCATATTTCGGTGAAATATTCGTGATGACTGGGTTGACAAACTGATAATTATGTCTGGATTGACCTCGAAAATTTTCTATCTTTACAATAACTGGTCCTTGTTTTTGCTCTTTATTACCAGGACCATCAACTCGACATGTAATTTGTTTTGTGCGTATGTAAAGGCTCTCATAAGGCTGGCAAGGCAATCCAGCAACAGTCACGCCTCCATAAATGTCACTAAAGGTCTTACCGAGATTAATTCCTTTGATCGTTATGTTGGTGTTACCTTCCCATGGACCCATCATTGGTTCAAATGAATGTATCTCTGGGTTTGGACAAGTCATATTTCTATCTAACCATATTCCGAATCCACGTTCACATTGTTCTTTTACTTCACACCTATCTGAGCTTTGACACCAACCACAGCCATATTTTGGAGGGATTGCTAAACACATACCACAATTGTCTGCCATGTCGCGGCATCTATATATAACAACGTGAATATTGTAGGGGTTGTCAAGAGGCTTGGATCCACCCCAGATAACAGCAAATGGTACAGTTATGTTGGGCGGTTTTGAGCTGTATGAAAATTCCATTTCATCACAAGCAATTGTATCACCAAAAATTTTGGCATTGACACTCGTTACTCGTCCTTCTATGTTGAATTGACAGACAAACCGAGTTTGTACGATAAATTGCTGAAAAAATAAAATAAAAGTAAATATTGAATCTTTACAAAAATTCTTTTTGTTTTTTTTGGTCAATAGATAATTCATTATTTCATGAAATTTCAATTTGAATTTTTTAAATTTTAAATTACAAATTGATCTCAAAATAAAAAATTTTATTTTCTTTATTATCAGAATATAAATCTAGGTTGTATTTTCTCTCAACTTTAATTGGTTATACTTGAATTTTCTTTAGTCAGACGAGTTTTAAAAAAAAACCATCTTAAATCAATACTTACTCCTATGATATGCACTTGGACAGAAATAGGTTTTTTAACGCCAGAAGGCACGAGAATCTCCTGAGATCCGGTTGAATTTATTGTTGGACAGAATGCTGGCCCACTTCTATAACTCGGTCCTATTCTCTATAATAAAAAGATATATAAAAAATTAATTTTTCCAATATTGTAATGGATTTTAGTGAAAGGCTATATATTACTTGATAGTTTACTATGAATAAACTTGAATCATTAATACTCTGCTCCAATTAATTCAACGACATGTTAATAGACTTGAAAATTCCCATTACTATTATTATACTGATGTAATTTATTGTTGAAAGTTGAAAAATTGAAAAAAATTCTGTCAATAGATATTCATAAACTTTTAACGATTATTTAAATTCATATTAATTTTATTTCCGTTTTCTTGTATAAATATTTATACCTTTCGTACAAATTAATTTCATCTAATAGAAGACATTTCTAATTTTAATTTTTCAATTATAAAATAAAAATATATATTTAAATTACAATTTTTTTAATTATAAATGATTAAAAATTTAATAACTAGAAATTGATTTGAAATTATTTGTACAAAATTGAAAGATAAATAAGAATCATGAGATGGGAATATTGATTCATAAATCGGAATCAATTAAAATCATTCATTTTCATTAAAAACGGCTGAACAACGATGGTAATAAATAAATAGATTTTTCTATAAAATAAATTCATTATTGACTTACATTAACACCCGTGACGAGAATGTCATTACGGCAGTTTGCGGCAGTGTCATGTGTACATCTGTGTCCATCGACACACCAATCACAAGGGAAACTGGATGATACGCATTCAGTACACGATGAGTAGGTATTACAGTCAAAGAATGTGAAATTAGTTGCTACAAGATCTGGTCCATTGGTCATTCTAACCGATAATTTAGCTGTAAAATGGTGATGGCCTACTGGAATGGAAGGCAACAGGTCAGTTCTTGGCGTCGTACAGTTGACTCCAGATGTTTTTCGTGATGCATTTGTGATAAGAGTTTTGTCAAATACGGAGAATGCACATAGAAATTCTCCATTTAGAGTTGGCAAATTGTCAATTGATAATTCTAGAGTTCGTGCAGTCGTTTTCTGTAATTGATCTGGTGTTACTGAAGTTATAGTGGTACATCGACCACTCTTGTATGGAACCCAATAAAGAGGATCGTTTGCAGCATCCGGACAGTCACTACGTAAATTACATTTATTCTCCAATGAGCACCAGCCACAATATGGATCTTTAGCACCAAGGCAATCCCAACAAGTCTTGTATACAGAGCATTCTTGAACTTTAACCTTGGAGACTTTCTTTTCAGTCAGCACGTAGAGATGCATTGGTGGCTGTTGAGCATCAAACAGCAGGTCGGGGTTCACTGTTGAGTTAGGATCGATCTCCAGATCTCCATATTCCTGTGCAATACTTGCACTCTCTACAACCACCTAGAAAATAAAAAATTTTATAATTACTTCAGTTTAAATATAATTTTATAAAGCTATTATACGTAATTGTACATTCCTTATGCTAAAAATGAAGATTATATTATCCATGAAGTAATAATTGTTAAAAAAATTTGTAAATTATGAAAATGTATAGTCGAGTTATGTTTATACATTTTTTCACGATTTTGTACTTGAAACTATTTCATGGCTAATTTACTTTGCCTATCAATTAGAAATAGAATATGAAGGAATAAATATATATAATATATATAAAATATTACTTTGGTTTGAGTACATTTATTTCTATTGATGCAGAAATGAAATGTGTATTTCGTTTTTCAGAGGAGCATTGAATTATAGTTATTGAAGCCCGTAACAATTATAAATGAATTATTGATCATCACTGCAGAAAGTTCATAATTTGAATCTGTATTGAATTTATGGTAATGAAACCATCATTTCAATACTTTATAATATTTTTAAATCATCAACTAAATTGTATTAATCAACGGTTATTTTCACATTTTAAATAATTATTTTCAGCTAATCCCAAAATTTTTGTCTTAATTTGAAATTCATTAAGTGAAAATAATAATGAAGTACAACTGTCACTGAATATTTAGTGGCAATTAAAATGATAAATTATTTTAAATCATTTTACACATGACAAAATTATTTCAAATTATATTAATATTTGATAATAATTGTAGATTTTTCATGTCGTGAAATAATTAAAGCAACACTTGTAGTTTGAAATATGTTAATTAAAAAAATGTTCAAACACAATATACCATAACTGGAGCATAAAATTATTGTATAATTATTAGCTTTCGTTTATATTGAATTTCAAATCAAATCATTACAGGGGTAGTTTCATTACCATGATTTGATTAAATTCATATTTGATACAATCATGAATTAAATATAATAAAAATAATCTCATCATCAATTTAAGATTTATGATCAAAGCAAACTTCGTTTAAAAGATATTCCTTTCAAATTCTCTTAAATATTTACTGTACCACTAATAATCTCTGGTGTTAAATGGGAAAACTTTTTCCAATTAAAAAAATTCTATTTCCTATAGTGTAGTCACTTTTTACAATAAATAAAACGAATCGTGTTCTAATGCTCTTATTAGCTGTTCTATCAGCAATAAATGTCTATACATAATATAACCATGCAGAATGTTTGAGTGTAAAAGCAACAGGTTCGAAAAAGCAGTGTAATCGATCGGCCACTGCATAGATAAATATAAAAAAAAATAGTTAATATATTGTTTTGACTATATCCTATATATGATAGGTAATTTGTTCAAATCTACCTTGGTGGCCTGAGGACGTGGTATAACAAATCTCAGTACGATTCTCAGAGAGCGAATTTACAGAGTATTGAATGATTACAAAAAAAAAAAAAATGAACAAAAAAAAGATATATAGACTTGCTCAATCATAACGGTATTTATTGACTTGATGAAACAAAGACCCTCGACGGTTCTCGCATTTCGCAACCCCGATTTGTGCTGAGCAATATGCTATATCTTTGCTCGGTTCCGCACGTTGGGAGGAAACAAAGCGCCCCGGGAAAGCGGATCGATTGGTTCTGGGAAGGTATAGAGAAAGAGAGAAGAACTAAATCCTGAAGGAGAGAGAAACTATCAAAATGTCTAGAGAGAATAGAAGGAAGAGTGTTAACTTTTGTGACTATATCATTACTCTTACACATTCTCTAGTGTAATAGAGAAGCTTTTTCCTACAGTTTGTTATGATTTTAGTAGGGTAAGGTTCTGCACTGAATAACATAGTTGAAGGATATATGTTGTGCTGAATGTATAAAATTTTGCAGTTTCTGTGAAGCCAAAACTAAGTTATAAAGGGAGAGGAGACTGAACCATTAGTACCAACGAATGTTTTATTCTCAATTCCACTAATTTCCTCTCGATTTTCAACAATAGAAGCTGCCAACATTGAATTCTATCGTCAATGTAATTCCTAGGGACTCTCGCATCACAGTCGACAGTAAATCGATTTAGAATAATTTGCTCAGATGAGAGTATGCTCGAAAGTTATAGAAATGTATACATTCATGTAACATTGATGATAAATATACATGTATATGGGATGTGCACAAGAGTATGAATTTATATGAATGCGTTTAAAGCAACGGGAATTATATTTGTGATGTATCAAGTTGGGGTGATTCATCCAGGAAATGAGATAATGATATAATGAGTTGTAGAATCATGAACCACCGTCATTTTCATCATGAAATTTCTGTCCTCGAGTTTAATTTGAAATGATAAATAAAGCAATCAGAAAAAAAAGATAAATTGATGATCGAAATAAAAAAAAATTCTGATTAAATAAGCCCGAATTGTCATAATAGACTTTGATATAATTTTATTTTAAAATACTGTTATGCAATTTATCTTTAGAATAATACTATTTATGGCGTTGATAAATAATTTCTGAACGTGGGAAAAATGATTGAATCTGTTTTACTGTAAACACAATGTTTGATGATTTTTTTTATCATGAAAAATGATGAAGCAAAAATTTATTGTATGTTGTGATATTCAATTTATTTAAAAATAAAATATTTCTATTTAAAGAGTTCTCTGCATAATTAAACAGTGAAAAATAATCCATTTATAATTCATCATAATTTTTTTTTTTATTTTATGAGTAAAAATAAATCAAATTAAATTATGTTTATATTTTTTTATAATTTTACAGAAAAATTTAGAAAATTTTTTATCAAATTTAAATTATCTATAAATTTGAAATAGTCAAGTTGTTCATCATTATCAATCTCAACATCAAACTAGAATCAGTTGAAGATAAATATTGTAAGTGGAATAACAAATCAATATTTATGGATCACTCAAGATGATTTAATGAAATAATTTTCTACCAAAGTAAAGAATAAAAATGATTATTAGTTTAAATGAATGTTTCAATAGCACGTCAAAACTATTGCGTCAGTCCTATACCTATTAAGTAAATTGATCGGCGAAAAAATGAAATTGATAAAAGAGAGAAACTAATATGAAATTTGAAAGGCAACGCGGGTGGGACCAGCACCTTTCTATGATATAATAGCTCTGATTTATATGAAAGAACGAGATAAAAATAGAAATAAAAAATCCTAGACAATGACAAGAATAATAATTCAATATCGCGTGAAGAGAGGTCATAATAACCGGCACGGTCTCACACCGAGATCAAAGTTTCAATTCCGTTTATATTCACTCGCCTTCATAAATATCGTCAAAAAAAAAAATTGCTTCTAGTATCCCAATTGCATTGGTGAATATCATAAAAGTTGGCCCGAATTTAAATACTGTGTATCGGAGATAGGGAGAAGTAGTGTGTGGCTTAAGTGAAGGTGATGAAAGGAATATCGAATGAGTGGAAATATGGGTCGAGGAGGGGTGTGCAAGTTGTGGAATGCGACTGCATGCTTAATGGAGGAGTAAGAAAGAGGACAAGAGAGAAGTTGAACATCCCCGCGAGACTCGCCGTGGGGCGAATGATCGAACTCTTGTACAAAAGGTCAAGATCGAGAACAAAGGGAGATCGAATGATGTGAAGTTACTTGATTTGCTTGATCCTCCCAACCGTCCTTATGTTTAATAAGGAGTGGTTTCAGATTCAACTGATACTCAAATATGTACTCTTTCTATATGCAAACATGGGTAATTATAAAATTGCTAGTCTGTGTAAATATCATATTAATTTATCATCTTCAACTACTTTACGCATGAGTTAAAAATTCAGTCAGAGTAAAGTCTAAAAGTATTAGAAATATATTTATTTTAGATAATATCTTAAATCTTTTGAAATGAAATCATTCTTATAAATATGATTTTGTCAGAATATTTATTCAAATAAAATTGTTTAATAATGACCAATCAAATTTTTTGTTATTTGTCACTTAAAAGTCTATAAAATTTTTATTGAAAGCAATTTTTTCATTTAAATAAATAATTTCATTCCAAGGCGAGTCATTTAGAATAGTTAACTGATTATAAAGTCGGTTTACACCAATAAATTCAATTACATCAGTAAAATGTTTTATTTTTTTAATTTTATCGATTTAATTAACTTCAGAGCAACTTTTAATTTTTATAATTTAACTGAATTTTTTTAATTCAATTACTCTATAAAATTTCAACAATCACTTTCTGATACAATAAATTCATCTTTATTAGTGAACTTTGCTTAAGATTATTTAGAGTTTGAAAAATTTTTTTGTTATTTATTAACAATAAAAAAATTCGATCAATTATAAATACACTCTTATTTGTTATTTATGTCTTAAATTTACAAACAATTATCTCAACAAGCTACTAAAAATTCAACAAAAATTTCTATCATCATATTTTGATGTTAAACTATTTTCAAGTCAATGAATTCCACCTCAAGGACAAATCTATATCTCTTTCATATTTACATACAAATTTTCTTCAGCATCATATCACGAATAATTGTTATTTATTACATGGCCAATAATGATTATAAATAATAAATTGGATAAAAATATTCCGATCCTTCAAATTATAAAACAGCGTAAATATTTCTTGTGTAAAATTCGATCCATAAAGTTTAATTATTTCAGCTGTACATGACATGATTTCACATGGAACTAAGCAAGGTTCACTCGAAGCAGACTTTATAAGGATATTGTATGGTATAATATTAAATAACAGCCGTAAAAATTGTTTCAACTTTATAAGTATAAGGCGTACACACTCGATGTACAACATAGTTTCATCGGGAGCCTTGGCGATTAATAATGAAATGCCACTTGCAACAGAAGGCACAGCAGGACGTCTTAATTATCAGGATGGTTGTACACGTAGTGAACGATTGACGGGCACATGATGGCAAAGAATCGTCAAGATTCCTTTTGATCGTTGACTACCGAGGACACATGCTTAAAGTCGAGCTCTTCAAGTTCATTCGTTTGTTCTTCATCCTTGATGAACGTCATTCTAC